TTGGTCCCAAAGCAGCGGCGGAGGGGGGGGCAAACCTGCCTGGTGGGGAAAGCTCCCCACCCCACCCCACCCCCTGAGCCCAAGAGCCCTCCACCCCCCAGCCCCACTGGAACAGCCACCCTTCTCCTCCCCCCTACGGCTGCCTCCTCCCTGCCCATCGTGTCAGCAGCACCCCTCCGCCTGAGCCCGTCTCGAAGGACGCTGCGCCACCGTCCCACTCAGCCCCCCAGCCGACGGAGACAGGCCCAGCCGCCCCACTCGCCGGCAAAGGGGCCTCTCAGGAGCCCTGGGGCGGGGGGAGCAGGAGCCCCGGCTCACACCTGGCCTGGCCGGGAACCATTTTGGGGCGGTGTCGGCGGAGGAGCCTGCCACGGCCACCAAACCGCGATGGAAAGGCTGCCGCCTGGCCCTGCAAAGGTACCACGCGGGGTCCGGGAAGGCTTTGCTCAGCTCTCGCAAGCTCAGCTCGGCTCTTGGTCCCTCCTCCTCCTCCCCCAGCGAGGACCTTGCGGCCGAGGGTGAGAGGGCGGGCAGCGCGGAGCCCCGTGTCCGGGCCCAGGGGAGGGGCCCGATCCGGCTGGGACTCACCTGCAGGCCTCCTTACAGATCTGCTGGCAGCCCAGCTTCTCCTGCACAAAGTCGTTGTGGAGTTTGTAGTAGCAGTACACTGCAAGGGGGGCGGGGGAGAGAGAGAGAGCCCCCCAGGGAGGGATGAAAAGACAGCCCAGTCCTGGGGTGTCGGATGGTGCGGGGGGGGGGGGGGCCCCGGCAGGACGCCGAGCGGGACCCCCAGCCGGTGGGAAACCCGGCAAGGAGCCCCGGGGGGAGGGGGGGGCCTTGGAAGACAGGCCGCTTTCCTGGGGCAGAAGCCTCCGTGGAGGCAGACACAGGAAGTGCGTCTTGCATCGGTCCAGAGACAGGCGCAGAGAAACGGAAACCTCCACCTGTGGCGAGTGGAAGGGCCAGGGAGCCGCACAGACCCCGGGGGTGGGTGGGCAGGGACATGCAAGGCTCAGGTGCCCGGCACGGGGAGCCCAGGGACGAGTCAGCACCACTCCGAGGGTGGCCCCCCACCATCTTCCGGGAGCGGTCTCCCGCCAGAAAGAGAGCTCTTGGTCATTCCAGGGCCCCCCAGGGGCAACGGACTGGTCAGGTGACTCCTCTGGAAGATGCAGGGGTCATTTCCTGTGGAAGCGCACAGGAGTGGCGCTCTGGCAGTAAAGAGCCCAGGGGGCGGGCACATGTAAAGAGCCCAGGGGGTGGGCACATGCAACAAGCCCCACCCCCTGCTCCCAGCAGCCCTCAGGCAGAGCAAGAAGCAGCCAGGTAAGTTGCAGAGCTCCCCCCGGTCCAAGACAGTCCAGTGGCACCTCTAAGACCAAGCTTTATTCAGGTATGAGCTCTCCCTCCTCTGTGAGGGCAGATCTGCACGTCCCCCCCCCCCCATCGCTAGCAATCCAAAAGGGTCCGGGGG